AAAATATTTGGTCAAATCTTTATGTTATTATCTAAACTTCACACTTATGAAAATATGCTTAACTATTTTTCTTTTAAAAAGGCATTCTTTAGCATTGTTTTTACTCTAAATTCCTTGCTAATATCTAGAAAATGTTCCTCTTTTACACTCCTACAAAGGTTTAATTTACTGTATAATCCTAAGTAGAGGACTTGATCATGTACTTTGCTTTATTATAAGCAAAGGATCAAGTGTTAAAGGTAAAACTAATGTGACTTTCTCAGAGGAAGTTTCTCATTGCTACTTGCTTATGCCCATAGCATGTGTAGTTCTTATAAGTCATCTGTTATAATCCTAAACTTTACATTATCATCAGCCATATACAAATAACTTGCTCAATAGGCCTGACACAAAGGTAAGGCTAAGAAGAGATTTATTAAAAGCAAAGCAAGCCAACCTGAATCCCAACAAAACTAATGTTCATTTCATTTTGAACACCAAGTTATGAAATCTTGCAAATAATTATAAACCAGAAATTAATATGTGCTCACTTTGAACCAGTGACAGCAAATAAACCAGATTTCACTCTTTCTTTTTAAAAATACTGTGATTTTACAGATAGTTTAGAAAACTATACCTTGCACAGAATATCTATCTCTCTGCTAATGGGATGAATGAATTTAGTATGTGGTTTGTAGCTGGAATTTCACACAGACTTTTGATGTAGCTGTGAGACAGAGAAAAATGGACTATATGTAGGACAATTAGGGAGATTTTTAAAGACTGGTAAATGAATTAAGACCCACTTGAATGGAAGGTTCTAGGATCACCTCTCAGGGCTTTTTTCTTGAACCTGTGCCACTCAATATCTGACAAAAATAGAGAAACTGGAGGAGTTAGAATACTAAAAGCAAGGTGGATGGTTCAAAGTTGTTTCAATTTAATAGAATAATGGGCCCAAATCAATAAAATAAATATAGAATAATTATTTCCCAGACTTGAAGGGGTATGTGCAGCCTTCATAATGATTTTGTCCTGTGTCCCCCACAAGAGATCATCCAGACTATGGCTGAACACTTCCAGGGTCAGGAAACCCACTACAGGTGTACCTTGTTTTATTGCACTTCATTTTATTGCGCTTCATAGATGTTTCATTTTTTTACAAATTGAAGGCAAGACTTTCCATCAGTAAAAAGACTAGGACTCACTTTACTTCGGTGGTCCAGAACGCAACCTGCGACATCTCTGAGGTGTGCCTGTACTCCCGAAGGAGCCATCATTTGAGGGACAGGTACAATTAAAAATATAACACTGCATGTTCAGGTTTAAAAGAAGTCAGTTATAGGTTCAGGGGATGGACAAAACCTAGTTTTCAGCAGTTTTTTTATTTATTTAAATGACCTAACAGAGAGTCAACTGTTAAAAACTCAACATTATCTTTGCCTCTATTAAGACACGTCTATTAAGATGACCTGTTCCCTCAGTTTGTGGTGTGGAAAACTTTAAAAGACATGGTGATAATTTGGAGTATATCTAGAAAAATGTGGCTGAGAGAACTGAGGGTCTCTGGAGCAATGAAGATGCCAGCGGTTCATGATGGTGTTACGAGGAGCATTGGGGCCAGGAAGCGAAAATTAGTGTGATAATTGGAGTTATCCCAGTCAACCTGAAGGGACTGAGAGCCAAACACCACTGTAAGAAACAATTCAACATGGGAAGAGTGGAGATGTTGGTACAAACTTGCAACTAGTAGATAAATAAGTTCTGGAGATCTAATGAACAGCATGGTGATTACAATCAACAAAAGGTATTGTAAACTTCAAAGTTACTAAGAGACCACATCTTAATTGTTCTCACCACAAAAAAGAAATAATTATGTGACATGAGAGTGTCCTTAGCAAAGGTATGGCAGTAATCATATTGCAATATATAAATGTATCAAAGCAATACATTGCACACCTTAAACTTACACAATGTTATATGTCAATTATATCTCAATTAAAAAACACAAATTATCAGTCTAGCTATTACCTCTTTACTAAATTTTAAACCCAAGTATCTAATTTTCTACTATATGAAGGCTCTGCCCTCAGAAATTTCACCCAACTTGTCTTGCAGGAGAGTAAGCTCTCTGTCACTCAAAGTGTTTCAGGAGAGGTGGGGAAATTACTGCTGTGTGAACAGTACTCAATCAGGAACCACACTTGTACACATAGGAGATCATGAGAGCTGCAACCACCAGGTGTGAAGACCAAATAAAAGATGTACAAGTGAGCAGAAAGCAGCACAGCAGTGACTCGATCTCCGTGAGAAATGACACAAAGGGATTCCCCTAGTTAGGACACAAACTAGATTCTGAACCATTTGGACCCTAGAAGTCTATGATTTCATCTTATTAATAAGCCAAGCTAATTAATCCCACTTTATCATTCAATGGTTATATTGCTTTTTTTTTTTTTTTTTTTTAAATATATCTTTATTGATTTCAGAGAGAGGAAGGGAGAGGGAGAGAGAAACATCAATGATGAGAGAGCCGTCATTGATCGGCTGCAGCCCGCAGCCCGGGCCCGCACCCTGGGCAGGAATCGAACCGCAGTCTCCTGGATCCCAGGTCGATGCTCAACCAACCGCTGAGCCCCGCCCGGCCGGGCTATATTGCTTTGAACGATCACGCACACACCTCGTCTGCCCACTTGCACAGTCTATGGGAAAACCTATTAAGATGCGATCCTGGAACAACATGGAGTTAGATCCCTTTATAGGGCCCCGTTACACCTTGTCCTCTCTGTCACCGTTCATCACTTGGACAAATGGAATAGAGGTGTCCATGTGAAAATGAGGCTAATACGTACTTTAGAAAGTTCACGGAAAACAGGAATTACTCAAAATACGTGATGAGTCACTGAAAGAGGTCATTCTTTTATTTTTTAAACAGAAATGCTCCCATAAAGGTGATACGACTTCATCACACTTCCCACCATGATTTGTGTTCACTATCTAGGGGCAGAGTGAAACGTGCTTATTCAACTTTCATGTCTCTATACTCTCTTTGCCTCAATGATAAGGAAATGGAGCCAAAAATAGTGCCTATTTTAGAAGACAACTTCTCCTGGGGAAGCTCAGAATGAATGGAGAGGGAACAAAGTGAAATTAAGTAGAAAAAGGGGAAGGGGTCAGGGTCAAGGAAGAAAGATGGGAGAGGCAATTTGCAAATCGTATTGGTTATCTTGGAAGTATTGAAAGTATAATGCATTAAATGAGCAAAGAAGTCAACTCCATATCCTACCATGCTTGTCTGACTCCAGGCAAGCCTCCCCCTCCGCCGTCACTTCATCACGCACAGTCCCTGTAAAGGGGCTTTGGGAGGAGTCTCATATAAGAACGGGGCTCAATAATGGCAACGAATGCCGATTTAAATGATTCTGCTACCTCAGCGTGGCTATTTTTAATCTGTTTGAGATGGGAGTGCTATTTACGCAGCCCCATGGGAGTCTGTTACACCTGAAGTTTTCAGTTAGAAGCAGGGTCTGGATGGAGTCTGATTCCTGTTGAGGATAGTCACTGGACTGGGCTTGTCTCATCTGGGCACATTGCTCCCAGGAATGTGTGTGAGTAAATTTCCCTGCTCTGTCTGCTTCTTTGAGCTTCACATGTTTCAGTCACCAGTCACTTTTCCTAGAAAAGGGAGTATAACTGTGGGGTCCTCCCCCACCTTCAGTCTCTTCCCAGAGCATCCCACTGGTGGCACCAAGCAGGATCCAGAAGCCAAGGAAGCCAGGGGATGATGGCTGAGGGATACACAAGGCAAAGAATGAATGGGGTGCGTAGGGGGCTGAGTGAAGAATCATCAGTTTATTTCCTGGGGGGGAGGTAAATGAATGAATGGGTGGGTAAGTGGATGGATGGGTTGATAGGTTGGTTTGACGGATGGATGGATGGGTGGATGGATGGATGGATGGATGGATGGATGGATGGATGGATGGATGGATGGATGGATGGTGACAAAGTCAGTGAATCACTTGTGGTCTCAATTTCCCTCTCTGTAAACTATGAATACTAAAATCCTCTCCTTTTACCAAAAAAAAAAAAAAAAAAA